GAAAATGTCAGCTCCGTCACACAGTCTGGTTTGACCCCATCAGTCCAGCAGTCTGGTTTGACCCCATCAGTCCAGCAGTCTGGTTTGACCCCATCAGTCCAGCAGTCTGGTTTGACCCCATCAGTCCAGCAGTCTGGTTTGACTCCATCAGTCCAGCAGTCTGGTTTGACCCCATCAGTCCAGCACTATCATCAGAACCAAACTTCTAATAGTAGACCCTCCCTGCAACATAATCTAGAGTCAAAAATGTTGGTTGGCTCCAACCACAGTGTCCAAGATCAAGAAGTGCAGCAGGAATCTGAAGTGGACAAACGACCCCTCTGTGTGTCTGAGTCGGCAGTCCTTGAGTTTAGAGAGAAGAGACCGCTGCAGAAACTCTCTTCCTCTGGAACTCCACAGATCAGAGAGACAGCAGCATTATCAGAGGAAATACACCAAGTTTCACAAAACATCGTTGGTTCTGAATCCATGGACCCTATTTTTGGACCACTTTCACCACCGTCATCAGACATCAAACTCACAACCACCTCGCTAGAGGAAACCGACCCTCAGAGGAACCTGTCTTCACCTAAAGCTGTTGATGTTGGACCAGATACTACCAAATCAGAAGAAAAAACCTTTTTGGATGGATTATTTTCACCCATATCGTCAGAGGACGAGCTCCCCATCGACCCTCCAGAGGAAACCAAGCCCACAGGGAGACCGTCTTCACCTGAAATGGATGGGATAGAAAGGTTCATTGTCAAATCTGAAGAAAGTGAAACTGGTTGCAGACCATATTCACCAATTTCCTCAGAGGATGAGGTCATCAGCTTGTTTGAGGAAACCAAACCTACGAGATGGTCCTCACCTGAAATGGATAGGATAGAAAGTTTCATTGTCAAATATGAAGAAAGTAAAACAGGACTATTTTCACCCATATCATCAGAGGACGAGCTCCCCTTCGACCCTCCAGAGGAAACCAAGCCTACAGGGAGACCGCCCTCACCTGAAATGGATGGGATAGAAGGGTTCATTGTCAAATCTGAAGACAGTAAAACAGGATTATTTTCGCCTGTATCATCAGAGGATGAGTTTCCAGTTGTAGTGCCTGAGGACACTGGTGGACAGGGTTCCCCATCAGAGGAAACCGACCCTCCAGGGAACCAGCCTTCACCTGAAAGACATGACATCGAACATGTCCCTGTTAAATCAGATGAAACCAAAGCTGTTGGTTCACCTGGATCCTCAGATGATGAGCGGACAATCGACTCGTCTGAAGATGACGACCCTGCCCTGAACCTGTCTGCATCTGAATCAGACGGTGAAGTTTCACCAGGCCCAAAGCCCAGGCAGCAGGACTTCAGCCAGCCTCAGTGGCAGCCCCAAGTGTCTCTGGTCAAACTGCCTTTGTCTGTCCTGGGACCTGGAAGCCCCGAGTCGTGTTTCCAGTCCCTCCTGGAAGAGAGTGAGGAGGAGCTTCCCCTTCAGGAGGTAGAGGTCACTGAGACATGAATGACCCAACTGAAGATCAAACCCATCAGTTTAACTCATTCACTCTGCTGTATTGCAGGGTCCTGCCAATAACAACATGTCTGACTCCACCAACGATGACTTCATGAGCTGTCCATCGTCTCCTGGGTCTCCACTGTCCGTGGAGGTCATTTCCTGCTCTGCGTGTGCCTCGCCCAACGCGTCAAAGATCTGCTCAGACTGCGGTCGAGGCTACCACAGCAACTGCCACATTCCTCCTGTTGGACCTGATATTTGGTAAAAACAAAACAAATACATCCGCTTTCTTAATTACTTTTGATTTATTACAGCTGCAAAGAGTTAGCCTGGTAAAAACCAGACCCTGTCCTTCACTTTGCATCGTACGAGGGTCTGGACGTGCTACTGTAGAGAAGCAGTTCTTACTGGAGGTGTGGCCTCTGTTGAAGAGTGTGTGTTGTTGCTGCGACAGAGGCTAAGCTATGAAGCTAATCTGAAATGGCGTGTGCTGTAAACAACCCTACTGAGAGGAGAAATACACCGAGCYGAACGAGACGACTGTAAATGAGAGCTGCTGCTTTGTCAGACTAATTTATTTTAATTTGAAGTCTTATCAACACAGACTGGCTTCATTCACTTCCTCCACTGCTGTATGCTAAAATAACTAGCAGACACTGTACAGAACATCGATGTTATTCAAAACTCCTCCTGTTCTCTGATTGGCCCGGCTAAAAATCTGCCAGTGAAATCCTTGTCAATGGGAGAAGTCCCAGACGGAGCAGAGAAGGAAACTAGAACTGAGCGGAGCTGCGTAGGAAGGCAAGGACCAGGTTAACAAAGAATTGGCCCAGCCAGGAAAAGGCTAACAATAATTTAAGAACTGAAACTGTAAGAAGAGTAGGGCTGAGTAAAAAAATTGATTTTATCGATCTTTGATCGATTTAATTTAAATTTGGCAAAATCGCTTCACAGGACATGAGATCGATTCTTCCCCATGGTGTCTTGCGTGCGCGTCTGAGGCACATTTATATATTTTGTCCCTCCTGGCTTGCCGTATATTTACATCCGGTTGACGTTCAGTGCTAACATTAGCTTTCGATAACAAGTTGTCTGGATCAAAACAAAAGAAACTAAGGAATCTGTAATCCTATAGCCGACTCTCAGCAGAACTTAAAGACAACAGAGACCATGGTGACCATTGTTTGTAAAGATTTGCACTCCTACGCAGTAGCGAAAACGAGTCGAGGTTTGACAAGCAGCTCGTTGGATGCTCAAACCAAACTACTGAATGTAAACATCTGACTGAACTGTTCTCCATGTTTAAACGTGTTAAAGATGGGATTCTAACAAAATCATTTAGTTCTGTTACCAATATTATTATTTTTAAACTTTAAAGTGTATCTTACCCCCCC